ATAGATAGATAGATAGATAATCTCTTCTCTGCTGATCCAATGTGACTGATAAGTCCAGTGACCTACATTTGAGCAGTGGAATTAAACATCTAATATGAAACAACTGCAACACTCATCCACAAGCACGAACAAATACTGACACATTTCACACCATTTCTTATCTATACAGCTAAAACTTGATTTCTGCACAGGTAGGAATGCCTACATTTAAATGGGTCACAGTATTGCCATGCATCGTCCCCATGTTCACCCATAATATTAGCATATACTGCTGCAGAGCATAACATTCTGCACATCATGATTGTGCATTATTCAGGCAGTGGCTGCACAGAAGCAGCCAGATTATTAATATTAATGTAGTTTAAAGCCTAGGGTGTGAGCACATGGCACACACAAATAAGAGCAATCCAGCTGATACAGAAGAAAAGAGCTAGAGCAAAGAAAAGAGATGGATGGATAGAAACTCATTCAGGGTCAGCTGTGTTCCATATTGATTGTGAGAGTTGTGTATGATGTTGATGTAATACGAACATGCATACGTATGCATGGTAGGTCCACATACTGTACGTGTACTGTGTGAGATTCAAAGAGAAAAACAACTGATAATTATCTTACCTGCTGCATCAAAATGGAAGTTTCATTTGAAGAGTTCACCATGAAAAAAAGGAGAAAAGGGAAAACTGTTAGTATGAATCCTGATAAACAGAAATGGATCATCTCTTGTCACATTATTTTACATTCATTTGTATATCCACAGTGAAAGAATGCATAATATAATGGTTTGATCCAGTGAAATATCAGACACTGTGATATGTCTTGTGTAACCAGCCCAAAGAAGTAAGGGCTACTCCAAGTTCATCAGTTGCTTCAACCTGCTCAGCTTTGTTCGGCTCCATTTCCAGCTCACTGCAGAACACTGATAATAAAATTGCGTGCTGTGTGTTCCTCTTTTAATTGAGTCTCCAGAAGGTAGGTAGGATTGTTGCCATAGGAAGACACATCTCTCCTCTAATTTAACCTAATGCTGAATACGTCTGTTTCTGCACTTAACTTATATGTCACTATGTTTCCTTTATTTTTTAACCACCTTTGATGTTATTATTTAGAACAATGATGAATTATTAACTCTGACAACAAATAATTAAAAAAAAATGTCAAGAAAAATAAATTTATGTCTACGGAAATGCCTTGTGAAATATACTGTCTCGGTCTTATAATCAAATACACACAAAGTGTAGCTCAAAGGTGTTGCTATCCCACTCCTATAAATACACACATCATGTTTCCCAACATTTAATACCCTGCTCTGCACAATATATTTCCATAAAACAAAACTAAGCTACCCTCAATATTTAAAAACACTGAAAACTCTCTGATGCTTGTGTTAATTAAAATAAGTCATGCTGTTAAAATGACATACTTTTCTATGATTCTCCAATGTTGTCAACCACACTGCTTAAAAACTGCTCTCGTGACCCAGATAATACAAAAAACATTAAACACTGCTTGTTTTTTCTTTCTCTCTCCTTCCATGGCTGAAATTAGGAGCACAAATGAGCCTGCAGCTATAACACGAACAGGACCACACATGAATTCACATCGGAATTCTTTTGCTGACAAAACCTCTCTGCTTCACTACCATGACATAGTCAGTAGCAGGCAGGAAAGCAAGCACACACACACACACAAACA